CACACACACACACACACACACACACACACACACACACACACACACACCTACCTCCAGGCCCACACAGCTTCCCAGGTATCACATCTAATGTTTGCAGAAGAACTGCAGGGCTCAGTCAGTAAAGAGCTGGCCATGCTAGCACGTGGACCTAAGCTCACACCTCTAGCACTCAGGTAAAGTACTGGGTGTGGGGGCTTGTACCCACAGCTCCAGTGCTCCCTGGGGCTTGGGGGAGAACACAAGAGGACCCTTGGAGCTCAGTCTAACTCACTCAGTGAGCTCCAGGCTTGGTGACAAACCTTGTGTCCAAAAAGTAAAGGTACAGCGTGAGCAAGGATACTGACATCCCGTCTAACCTCTGTGCTCATACATACACGTGTGTATACACATGTACATACTCATCACATACCCACACAAATACATTCATAAGCACACATTCAAAAAAATTAGCACTAATCTATACAACCTTCTCCTGAAATTGGAAGTGTCCTCTTTTGATTGATTCATTTCCCTAAAATAGCATTGTCCTGATTTCAAAACAAGAGAAAGAGTGAAAAAGAAAACCCCAGATCCATGCACTCTGAATCCCCGGTCACGTGCTCCTTGAATCCCTGGATCTGTGCACCCTGAATTGGTTGCCAAAATTAGCAAGCTATTACCAAACTTGACTCAGCCATACATAAAAGCAACTGCACTGCATGAACTAACCACACACATGACCAGGCTTTGTTTCAGAGATACAAGGCAGGTAAAGAATCTGAAAATCTGTTGACAGAATTTGCAACAGGTCAGAGGTCACAGAATTGATCAGTTGAAGGAAAGAATGGCATAAATTGAACATCCACCCTGATCTTAAAATATCTGAAAAGAATGGCAGCTGATAGACACTCTCTCTACTTGGTAAGAAACTCCTGCAGAGGCCTGTGTCTGGCTGAGGAACGGTGGATGCTGCCCCACGTGGGCCCAAGATATCCAGGTAACTTTCATTGCCTTTACTCAAACAGGGAAGCTGTAGCCAGTGTAACAGGGAGAAAGCAAACAGGGAAAGATTCACATAGCCAAGGAAAGAAATCCAAGTGCCCTTGTCTATGTAGAAAACCCAAAGAACTCTGCAGAAAGAAAAACATAAATCTGCAGCGGACAGGCGTATCTGATGGGCCTGAGGAGTCTAAGGGCCGCTGCATTTCTTTTACTGCAGTAGATACACTCAGAATAAAAACACCATGCCATTTGTAGCTTTTAATGAAGTAGCTCGATATATGTCCAGTAAGACAACTGGAACCATGCTGAAAGCCACGCAGCCCTGATGACCGAAGCTAAGAAAACTGACATGTGGTGGCCCCGCTGTTCCAACTGACTAGAAGGTGGGGTTTAACAGCACTGCATGGTTCTGTGTGTCCACTTGACACAAGCTGGAGTTATCAGAGAGGAAGGAGCCTCCCTTGAGGAAATGCCTCCATGAGATCCAGCCATAAGGCATTTTCTCAATTAATGATCACTGAGGGAGGGCTCAGCCCACTGTGGGTGGGGCTATCCCTGGGCTAGTAGTCCTGGGTTCTATAAAAAAGCCAGTAAGCAACACCCTCCGTGGCCTCTGCATCAGTTCCTGCCTCCGGGTTCCTAGCCTGCTTGCATTCCTTTTCTGACTTCCTTCAATAATGAACAATGACCTGGAAGTTTAAGTCACATAATGGTCTCCAGGGACTGGAGACATGTGGGGCACTGGGATAGGTTGCAAAGGGCTGCCCCAGGGTTCTGGTGTGATGAGTGTTCTGCACCTATAGCTTCTACGTCAGTCTAGGCTGCCACACTGAGCTATGGCCTGCTACTGCTCAGGGAACTGGCACAGGGGGTCAGGATCTTGCCGCATCACTCTGCATGACTACAAGTGGGTCTAAAATTATCTTTGAATAGAAAGTTTGATTTAAAATGCTATCTGTGGCTGAGGTGGTTCAATGGGCAAGAGTCAAATCCCCAACACCAACATAAAAAGTTGGGCATGGCAGTGTGTGCCTGAAGTCCTAGCATTGGGGTGTGGGGGTAGAAACAGTAGGCTCCTGAGATCTCCCAGGCCAAATGGTCTACACTAAATAGCAACTTCAGTGAGAGACCTTGTCTTCAGGCTGGGAGTGATAAAGGAAGACACTAACTTCTGCTTTAGCCTACATGTGCACACATGTGTGCACACACATGAATGTGTGCACACACACACTCATGCGTACCCCTCTTCCACACACAAATAACAACGTAGATTTGAAATGTCACCGGCTCTGGAAAGCCTTCTTCAGTTGCCACATAAGTTAGACCACTAGTTCTCAACCTTCCTCATGCTGTGACCCCTGAATACAGTTCCTCATGTTGTGGTGGCCCCTAACCACAAAATTATTAATTTTCTGACTGTTATAAATCGTAATACAACTAGATATCTAACATACAGGAGGGTCTTGGGTGTCCCCTAAGGGGGTTGTGACCCACAGTTGAGGACTGCTGAGTTAGAAACGAAGCAGATGAACCTCCCCCCACATCCTGAAAGGCAGCATCCCGTGGCCTGCAGCTCAGTCACTCACCTCCCGGAAACCTTGCTCAAAATGCCGCAGCTGCAGGCACTGTTCCAGCTTCTGCTGATGCTTTGCCCAGAACTCGTCAAAGGCAGCCTCGGTCTCATTCAGCTGGGCCAGGAGCCTGAGAAAGAGAGGAAGGGGTTGCAGGAGTGAGGAAGAGTGTACCTCCCAGGGTGCACAGCGGTCTACCCGATAAGCTCTCCAGTGACTCCCCGGCCTCGTGTGCTGATTCCTACAGTTCTCGGGGTTCTGAGGGACACGAGGGTGATGCACATCAGACAAGACCCCAGGCTCAAACTTCTCTCCTGCACCCACGCCTGTGTCGCACGGATGCGGCAGGGCAGAGGCGTGTGTGTGTGTGTGTGTGTGTGTGTGTGTGTGTGTATGTGTGTGTGTGTGTGTGTGTACACCAGGAGTCTTCTTCAATTGCTTTCCATGTTGTTACTTGAGACAGGGTCTCCCATGGAACCCAGAGCTTGCCAATTTCGCTAGAATGGCTGGCTGGCCGGCGAGCACCAGGAATCTGTCTGTCTCTACCTGCACAGTACTGCGATTACAAACAGGAGCCATTACACCCAAGCTGTCCACTGGGGATCCGACTCAGGTTGTTGTTCTTGCATGGCAAGCACGATCAACTGTGCCATCTCCCCAGCCCCACATTTATTCACTTTTGAAGGATGACAACCCTGGGCCCGGGTGAAGAGCAGTCGGCTGCCAAGGTCAAGAGCTGGTGCTCGCCACCCTCACGCTCACCCTTAGGATTACTTCTTGCTAAAGGACTCTAAACAGAACCAGCCAGCACCACCTTGTTCTGACCCTTTACCTAGTCTTGGAGGAGTTGATAAATTTCCTAGGGTGATCTGGCTAGATCTCTAGCTAGTGAGCCTTGATAACCTACTGCATGTGTTTCCTATGTTCCCAAATACAACATGCCTGTTCTGCATACAGCCACGGCCGGTGTGGGCGAGCACCAGGTGAAAGCCAGGAGCCAAGAGCCTGGCTGCCTATTGCTGTGTTTCTGGACAAAATTCTATCCATCCAGATGCTCCGAGCCTTTCCTGTAGGTGGGAACAGCATCCCTACTCTGCAGTGTGGAGAGGAGGCAGATAGGGCTCTCGACGTATCAAAGCAACAGGGAGCACTAGCGGACACTGGCTGATGGCGTCCTGCCCTGTGTTGTGTTATAAACATGGAGAACCAGTGAGAAATACAGACAGTACCTTTTACTGTGACAGTAAATGCATGCCTGAAGACACAAGGCTAGAACAGAGGCACCCTGAGCTACTCTCCTACAATGACTTTCATTGGGGCTGTGGGAGCCAATCTAAGGTGCTCTGCTACTGTTGCTTGCCCAACATTTTCCTGTCTGTGGAACCGTCTGTTTGCTAGCTCCCCCTCTCCTTTTTTAGCAGGGGAGGCTGGCCAGAGGGCTACCTGCCTGGGATCTGTTGCAATCGCTTTGGCTAGTCGGCTCCTGTTTTCACAGGAGCTGTGTATCTGTGGAAGTCTTGCACCTTGGCCAGGGCAGGGGAGGACAGGCAGGTGCGGGCCTTACCTCTGCACCGTGGCCTGATTGTCGAGCTGGTCCTGGTTCACACTGTGGGCAGTGCTTTCGGCCAGGGGCTCCCTGAGGTTCTCAAGGATGCTGTTCCCCTCCTTCAGTGCCAGCTGCAGATCCTCCTGCAGAGAGAGAGACAGAGAGACAGAGAGACAGAGAGAGAGAGACAGAGAGAGAGAGAGAGACAGAGAGAGAGAGAG